CTTCCAAGACCCATGCTATGGAAGCAGACCCCCCCTGTTCCCCGGGCCCCCACCCCTCCCCCACCCCTCCCCCAGCGCCCTCGCCCCGAAGATGTAGAGAGAAAAAGAGAGAAAACGAAAAAGGAAGAATTAGGTAACATGCTCATGTCTCGCACTGATATGCTCACAACAAAATTCCTGGTCTTACTAATCGCCAGGTGTGATTGGGGAGTACGACCCCTGTGGTCACCCACGCACTGCATCCGCGAGCGTCGTGGGTCCAAGTACCTAAATCCGTTTAACGCTGTAACGCTATTGGAAATTACTAGTGTGATCGATTTGTGTAACACCCTATCCCGATAATACCCAATCTCTATTAACAACTATAACCCCAGATATTTATCTTCACCTATCTGCTCTAACTTCCTCTCTCTCAGGCCTACCCCGAGCCCTGGATATCGCATACCCTTCCCACCCTCACACTCTAGGCTCCCTTTGCAAACTAACCAATACCGGGGGAGGCTAATTCCAGGGTCTCCTCTAGTCCCCTATATACCGTCCCACCTGACTGGAGATTCCCCCTCTAAGGCCTAGATACTTCTCCCTCTCTTCCCGAGAACTGTTAGTGAAGCCCCTGCCCCCAAGGTGATAGCCTTACCTGGGTCTGCCCCTAGTCGGGAGCGCTACCCATCCTCTGCATGTTTTAAGTACCACCTGTCCTCGTCCCCCCTCTGCCTCCGCTCAGCCCCCAGCCTCCTGGATTCCTGTGCTACTCCCCCCGGGTGTTTTCCCCTAGGGCCTGTGGGCCGTCCATGTCGAACTCATCGTCTCCACCATCCTAAAGTCCCTTAAGCAGTCCCCTCTGCCCCTCCCCTGATCTGTCTCCCCGGGCTGGTACTTCCAGACTCCCAGCTCCCCACAGGTGGCTAAGTCCAACCGCTTCCCTGGGCCCTATGCCCTCGGGACCTCCCCCCTTGTCCCCCAGCTGCCATGTGGGAGGCCCACCTCTCCCGGTTCACTCCTCACTCCTCCGCTCCCCGCGGGGAGATTGATAGCTCACTGCCTCCCTGGGCATGAGGGACACCTGGGCCGCGCTTCCCCCCCTGTCTCCATCCACCGGGGCCTTGTGTTACCCCTTGCCATCTCACCTCAGGGTCTCCCTCTACCCCGGGAGCCCCCATACTCTCTGCCCCCCATAACTGGGGTGCCCCTCTTGTCCCTCTGCTCTGTGTACTCCGAGCGTCCTCCTCCCCTCAGTCCAGTGGATTTGCACAGTCCAGGGTAGCGTTCCCTCCTCGGGGACTTAAATCCCAGACCTCCCTTCCCCTTAGCCCTCCCCACCTAATGCCTAAGCCCTCCAGCAGGTGCATACCCTCCCCCTTAGCCTCCTCCCACCTGTCCCATGCCCGGTACCCGGCTTCAACATATCGTCCAGCATGTCTACCGCATGTGAGTGGTGGTCTCCTGGTATACGGCATCCTGTTCTGTCCTCAGTGGCCTCCAGTTCCTGCTGTCCGCCACTCACTTGGCAGGTGCTGCAGCTCTTCCATGGGCATCGGCACCGTCTGGATATTCAAAGGGGGTGCCAGTCCCAAATCAGCAAAGAGACGCCTAGGGTCTCCTCCTGGCAGCAGCACATGCACCCGGCCATCCTTAAACGCCATGAGACGGAAGGGGAAGCCCCATGCATAGCGTATGCTAGCCCAACGTAGGGCCTCCGTAATAGGCTTCCACTCCCGCCGGCGCTGGAGTGTGCTGGGCGCCAGATCCTGATATAGGGCAATGGTGGCTCCTCCATATTTAATCTCCGTATCTCTACTTTTGCGCAGCAGGGCTTCTTTGGTGGTATAGTGCAGAAAGCGGACAATGATGTCTCTGGACGCGTTTCCGTCGGGGCGCCTGGTCCTTAGTGCCCGGTGCGCCCTCTCAAGCTGCCACTGGCTGTCTGAGATCTCTGGTAGGATTGGCTTAAAGATGGTGAGGAGGAGATCCGCCAGGGGTCCCTCTCCCTCTCTTTCAGGTAGCCCCCTGACACGCAGATTATTGCGCCGGGATCTGTTTGCTGCATCCTCCAGCGCCAAATCCACTTCATATAGGCGCGTGGTGAGAGTGTTTACTTGTGTCACTACATCATTATGCGCTCGCACAGTCTCCTCCATCCGCTCCTCTAGCTGTCCCGTTCTGGCGCCAAGCGCCTGCAGCTCTGTCTGCAGGACTGTCGTGGACCGCTCTATTTCCCCAGCTAGATATACTTTTAATTCTGCCAGCTTTGCTAATATGGTTGCTGTATCTCCCTGGGTCGGTTCCACTTCCTTCCCCGGCGCCATTTTGTGCCTCTGCAGGGCCCCCCTTGCTTCCCAGCATCAGGTCGAAGACCGAGGCTGCAGACTCCATACCTTTTTTGGAGCTCTTCTTGGGGTTTCGTTTCTCCATCCTAGGAGGGTGTTCAGCTTCCGAAAAAGTGCTGTAAGAAGCTATTTAACAGCGTCGTCGGAGCAGAGCTTCACCCCGCCACGTCTAGCCCGCTCCGAGGTTAGGCCACGCCCCTAGAGAGCTGGTTTTAAGTGCAAGCTGTCGTAAAAACAGGTAGGTCGTAAAGTGAGGACCACCTGTAGTCAATTGAACATCAAATTGTCAAATTAAAGTATTACTCCAACCACTATGCTCACATCAATGATTAGATGTGGTCATGGTGCCTGGAATCTACATGTGCATTTCGCTGAGAAATGTTGCACATACCGAATTTAACCCCTTTGCTGTCAGAAGTGTAAATCTACCTATGGCAGCATCATGGGGCATCATCAGTCATCTATGAACTACAGTTATGAGCTGTGCAATTTTCGATGCTCATACACTCATTCATTGGGTGAGATTGACCAGCCGAGTGGCAGGATCAAAATCTTGGCTTCTGGAACTCCGCTTGTGCTTCATTATCACTGATTGTGTCTCTGTTCCATGTCACCCCACATTTAATTCAATATCTTGTATCTTACTGCCTTAGGGCCCCGCTCAGTCAGTCTGTTTGGGGTTCAGATAATTCCTTACTGGTCCGCCAGTTGCGGGGAGTGCCGATCCAGCGGACCGCCATAGTCCAAGTCCCTGCAGTCTCACAAAGCAACAATGACATCATTACATCACTATTGATGGAATTAGGAATAGCCACCACCCCATGATGATTTGGGGTCATGGTTATGACAATTACACTTCCCAGTCTATAAAACAACAATATTTCACTTGAACAGTGCCCTGTTGTGTTTTATTGTGCGATAATATGATGATATTGATCAGACAGGACAAATGTAAAGATAAAGATGCCACAGGCATTAAGCACTGTGGCATATATCTATAGTGGCAATAGAGGGTTAATTTGTCCTATTAGTACAGTTAGGGTTTATTTAAAAGGTGGTCAGGTTAGCTATGACTGAGAGTTTATGTGAATATGTTAGCATTATCAAGTTATGGTGGTATGCCCCCCTTTCAAGCTTTAAATAAACACAGCGGCCTAGCCCATTGAAATAAAAATAAACTGTGTCTGTGTTTATTGTGTGGTCTAAGTTATTTATGCAAAATATTGCCTACCATACATATAAAATGCCCAAGGGAAAATCCATGCTGCAACCTCAGCCCCATTTTAATCCCACATCTATCTCATGTCTATTTTCCACCCCACTAACTTTTTTCTCTTTCCTGCTATTTGTCTGCCTTTCTCTATCCCTTCTCTATTCAGTTTTTTTTTTTTTAACTAGCTGGCTATGTGTGGGCCTGCAATGTGTGTATATTAAAGGCTGTGTGTGTGGTCTGAGTGTGGTGTTATTACGTGGGTAGTGTGTATGAAATTATGTTTCTTATGTTGTTACTGCACATGTTATATGTGTTGAGGTTCCTTGTCTTGTGTGTGCAGGAAGACTGTATGTGTGATGTGACGGTATGTTTGAGGAGGCTGAATGTGTGGAAACTGCATTTGTTGTGTGTGTGGGGATGTGTTGTGCATGGGAGACTGCACGGGTGGAAAGGCTGTGTTTGTTGTGTCCAGCCTCCCCACACATTGCAATATTAACTTAAATTTTTTTTCTTTTTTGCCTCCTCCTGCTTATGGTTTGCAAAGTAATAGGTTATGATTCTGATTTCAGTGGGGCAGTGTTCATGCTCCCTGGTGGTCTGTGGCTGGTCTTCATCGGCTGTACCTCAGCGGGTGCATATCACTGCTCTGGGACTGTGAGTGCAGACTATGATTTGCACTCTTTGAAGTGGAGATTACCCACTATACTGCTAGTGCAGGACTAATCAAAGAGATCTTTCAATATCCCTATCAAACCATAGAGCAACAGATTCTCAGAGCATGCGCTACATCAATGCCTAATTCATCCTGCAGTAGCACTGGGCCCAGAATCTAGTGATTTGCTATCCATACAGCATGAAACAAACCATTAAGGAAAAAAACATTACTGCTAAATATATTTTAAAAAGTGTAAGTAAAATTATTTATATAGGGCCAACATATTCCACAGCACTGTACAATAGAAAACAAGACAAACATTTAATTCTAACAAAACATGTATAACATACAGCAACGGTAGGTGAAAATGACCACTCCCAAACGAACTTACAATCTAAAGGATGAGCTTGGTGAATAGGCAATGATCATTACCTACAGTAGCAGAAATTACCACTGGCTATAGAAGTATTACTTGTACAGGTGCTATAATAACTTATCATACACCGATTTGTCACCCATATAGCAAATGGAGAATTTTTTTTTGCCACATTAGAACTGATGGGAAAATTTTTTTTACTTACATAGACGGGCCTTATTTATCTAGTTATTACCAGTTTCTTGGTATCAGACGAATGAACATGGAACAAGGATTTTCACAGTGCCAATACTCCACATTTAACCCCTGGGTCATAGGCGGTTACCTTAGATTGCTATATATCTAATCTGGCATGGGTGCAACATAAATATAATCTATAAATACATTAAAATACATTAGAATGATATCCTTACCTGATGTAGAACATCTGCCCTCTCTGTGTGTTTTTTTCGACTCTTAATTGCTGCAGCTCGATTCCGTTTTCTTTTATTTAACTTAGTTACATCTGATTTATTACCCTGTAATATTAAAAAAGGCTACTTTAACATCCATATCACCAAGTGTCTTTATAACCCCATCTGTTAATCACACAATAAAAATTTGATTTTGGGATGATTATGCCAAGGGGCACAGTTGAATTTGTATGTGCCAGTTGCAACATTATGTAGCAACTGCAATAATGGACAAATGTAAGGATGTACCAAACCAAATGAGTTGTTTTGAATTCCTTCAGAGAGAAACAAACAAAAATGACCTCCATTTAAAAAGCCCCACCAACTGAAAACAACTCTTACACAATCTTATAGCTGTACTCTAGTTAACAGCTGTAGACTATTGCTTACTGGGTTATTATTATTATTATTATGTTATTTATATAGCGCCAACAAATTCCGCAGCGCTTTACAATGGGTGGATGAACAAACGTAGTTGTAACCAGACAGGTTGAACACACAGGAACAGAGGGGTGGAGGGCCCTGCTCAATGAGCTTACATTCTAGGGGGAGTGGGGTAAAGTGACACAAAAGGTAAGGATAGTATTAGACTAGTGACCGTTCCAAGAGAGGAATCAGTCGGGAGCTATTAAAGCGACACTGTCATGCCGAACTTACCTTTCTTTAATCGATTCTTCTCTCCCTCTCTCAGGATCTGTTCTTCATTACTTCTTGTCTGCTCTAGTTTTCTTTAAAACACAAGACAAAGTAGGGCGTATTTGTCTTATGGAGGTTTCCTACACCTGACCATCTCTGACCAGCGGAGGAGCAAAGTGTGCTTCATTTCCCATGGTCAGAGCAATTTTCCCATAATTCTCACCTTTCCTCAGTGTTCCCGCGAAGCCTTCTTTCACTTTTCCCGAACGTCCTGTCATTTAGACAAAACTACCGAATTGCGTCCTAACAGAATGAGAACAGTTTATCCATTTGTGTTAGGACGCAATTCGGGACTTTGTTCGGATCGGAATTTCATTCGAATGAATGAAACTCCGATCTGATTCGTGACGCGGCTGCATCTTGCAGCCGCTTAGTAGATAACTCCCTAGTTCCCACGGTATTAGGAAAGCTATCTACCATAAGGCTGAAAGACCTAAATTGGTCTTTCTGCCAAATGTACTAATACGAAGTAAAGGTTACTTAGTATTAGTAAATTCTGCCCCTACTCGCTATACCACAAGTATGGGCATGTCTATTAAACAGTGAACAGCCTGTGGCTGCTCACTGTTAAAAAAAACAACAACCCAGTATCCCCCCTCCCGAGCCTCCACCTGTGCCGCGTGAGTGGGGGCTATTAAACTGAAGGTCGGACCTAGCGTCTTCCCCCCAGCCCCCCACCCCTGAGCGGTAGGTGGGGGCCCTAAATAATGTAGGGGGGGACCCATTGTCCTCCCCCCCTCCTGGCCCCCATTCCTGAGCGGCAGGTGGGGGCCCTAAATGAGAATGGGGGGGAACCTATTGTCCTCCCCCCCAGCCCCCACCACTGAGTGGTGGGTTGGGGCCCTAAATAACAATGAGGGGGGGACCCCCAGGGAGAGGGGGCGCTTGGTCTTCAGTCTAATAGTCCCCACTCGCACAGCTCGGGAGGGGGGATACTGTTTTGGGTTTTTTTTAACAGAGACCCCATTTTCCACATCCCCTATTACCTTTTGGAATTTCAACACATTAATTTGTTAGAACTATGTCTCATTTTGAGGTGTTTTCATATATTTTAATTCTCAATAGATTTAAATTCCCTATAAACATCCAATGTGTGTGTGTGTGTGAGGAGTGCAGATTGTGTGTGTTAGGGGTGCAGTGTGTGTGTGTGTGAGAGGTGCAATGTGTGTGAGGAGAGCAATGTGTGTGTGAGGGATGCAGAATGTGTGTGTAAGGGGTGCAGAGTGAGAGCGAGGGATGCAATGTGTGTGTGAGGGGTTTAGTGTGTGTGCATATGTGAGAAGCACAGGGTGTGTGTGAGGGGTGTAGAATGTGTGTGTAAGAGGTGCAGAGTGTGTGTGTGTGTGTGAGGGGTGCAGAGTGTGAGAAGTGTGGTGTGTGAGTGTGTTTGGTGCAGAGGTGTAACTAGAAACCAAAGGGCCACGGTGCAAAAATTGCCTTGGGACCCCCCCATAGTCTATACCCTGCCACCCCACCATACGTCTAACCTCCCCCTCCCATACGTTGCCGCCCCACACATGCAGACAAATAGATAAAAAATGCAGGCACACACATAGACACTTACACAGACAGACACACATACATACATACAGACACCCACAGACATACACACACATACATACATGCATACAGACACACATAGATACAAACAAACACACACATTTACAAAATGTTTTATTCACCCTCCTGTTTTCTACCTTTTAGGGGCAGGAGGGTGACTTTCCCTGGGGTCTAGTGGCACAGCCTGATTGGAGGCAGAGTTCCCATTATGACTCCCTTCTCTCCTTCCTCCTCTGTGTAATTCATTACAGGGGGCCCGGTGGCGCTGGTAAAGCGCTGCAGCGCTGACTGGGCCCCCTGGAAATTCCCCCTGCAACCATGATAGTTCTGCCACTGGTTAGGTGGTATAAAGTCTGTTTTGTAGGGGTTGAAAAAGGAGCAATTGCATTTTAATAATAAAAAGACAAAAACGTTATATATAAGTATAGAATACAGTCTGCAGGAAACAGACAAGACTAATCAGAAAAAGACAGAGTTCAAGGAGAATAGAATAGTGGGTAAACGATAATCATAACCAAGGTCAGGAATTCCAGAAGTCAGAGAAATCAGAAACATAGCCATGTCAGAACCAGATCATGCACAGCACAAGTCAAAAGGCACTCCTGAGTAACTGCGACCATGACAGGGCAAAGATGAGAGTTTAGTATGGCTTTAAATAACCTGAGGTTATTTATGATAGGTCTGCGTCAAAAATGATGCAAAACCGTGTAACTGATGGTTAACAGGCATGGGGCAGCCAAGATAACAGTTTGTGTTCCAGCATCCCCTGCCTGCAACAAGCTTTGGTGCTTGCTCGGGTGCTGGGATTGCATGACACTGCGTCTGACTCGGGTAGATCTTAAGGCAGGCACAGTTTTAACTATCGGGTGCCTGCCTTAATAAGATTAAAAGAGTGCTCCCAGACCCTGAGTGCAGCAAGGCTGGCCTGCCGCCGAAGCGCAGCAGAATCATTCCCTGGCTCCCTCCCTGATCCTGTCAAGGCAGGCACTGCGCCACTAGATTGTGCCTGCCACCTTGTCTTCTGGCTCCCCCCTGTACATGAAAGATAGGTAGGCACCTGATATTTGAATCGGTGCCTGCCTTACTTTTGTGTTAATAAGCTTAAAAATATGTCCCCTCAGATCCTAACTAAAAATCTCAATGCAAGGCCAGCTGCTTCAACATATATTATGTATATTTATATATTCTATTTCAGGGGTAGGCAACTTTCGGCACACCAGATGTTGCCAGCATCATGGGAGGTGTAGTCCAAAACATCTGGAGTGCTGAAGGTTGACTACACCTGATTTATTTAAAACTTTTTGCTTTAAAAAAAATTATAAAATTAAATCATTTGGCAGCATCTAGTGGCTAAACTCTGTATTGCACTTCCATTTTGAATTTAGCCCCAAAATGGCATATTTATTTCGTTAATTAATAGGACTATATCTCTATGGTTTATTCCCTATATATGGGATCGCATGGTCCCAATACACAATTCAATAATCTTTCTTACCATTAGTTATACATTTAGAAGTCCATTGTATTCTTACAAATTGTGAATCAATTTCATTTAGCTCTTGCTCTTGCTATATAGGGATGCAATACCCAGGACATGTATCACTTATGCAAATTGATGGGCAACATATGGAAAGCGCTGCCTGTAGTATGTAGAAATTAAATGCTGCAGGTTGTAAATTAGGCAATAAATCAGTCTGTAATAATACAGCAATTTGGGGTCATCTGCTTGATAACAGTGTGATAAGGATCAAAGCTTTCAGTTGCATTTTACAACACCCAGCTAAAACAAAAGCTTACATCCCTCCAGCAGTTCTCCTGCCAACCAGTTTTCCCATACATGTTGTCAGGAGATCAGAGGTCAGGAGACCTGGATTAATTAACATCTAGGTGTAACCATGGGAGTGTGTGTTTTCCCAAGCCATCCTGTCTCTAAAAGAAGTCCAGGCCTGCTCCCAACCTACCCAAAAACCAACCCCAACTGGTCACTTCTTAAACAACGTTATAGTATAGCTGGGGGGGACAGATTTAAAGAAAAGGGTTTGATGAACCACTTTTTGGGAGGTAAAAGGGATCCTGGGACTTGTAGTTAATGACTGCAAGAATCAGTCTTTAAAAGAACAGCCCAGGAGGTTCGGCGCCGCCTCTCTCTTTGTCTCTTTTGGAGAAGACAGTCCAGCAAGCAGTGATGCCATGGTGAATGCCATGGTGAACTGAGAGAGACTGTCCCAGACTACCAAAGATGAAGGCGCAAGGGGAAGATCTTCATTTAAATGTCTAAGTATTGCCCCTTTACTATGTATCTTTTGATTATGTACTGGATATGGTTATAATGCGTAATGTGTATATCCTAAAATCTGTAACAGCATCCTAAATCAATATTAACAATACATTTTATTATACACTTGTGTTTGTGTCTTATTTGTCACACATTCCCTAAAAGAATATCCTTGTAAGAAGGTCATAATTTCTTACACAGGTGTCCTGCTTTTGGGGTCACCAGGGAACTGACCCAACAAAGATAGCATCAGCTCCCCACATGTGTGCTCCCCACATGTCTTGCATTCAGTGGGCTGGCTTACATGATGGACAGACAGCTTGTGCATTAATGCCAGGCTGACCTGCCATTAATTCGGGCAGTCCTGCCCCCTTTCTAGGCATGTCCACCACTTGGTGGCAGAGTTAGTCACATGAGCGCATCACTGGTCTTGCCCCCCTCCACCCCCTCAGCCATCCAAATTCCCAGAATGCGGGAGTTTGGAGGTATGCATAAAGTTCTTTATATGTCTAGCATGTTCCTTTAACCCCGCAACACCTCAGCCAAACAGTGCATAGTTCTACCTCCCCACACTTACATTTTCTGACAGGTCCACATTCGATAAATCCTCCATGCTGCAAAATTCCTGTTTTTTCTATTTTATATTTCCAATTTAAAAAAAAAAAAAAGTTTTATTATCAGCAAATGAGAACCACTTAAAAAAAATTATTAATTTCTGTTGTAAATAAAAAACAGGTGTTTTTTTAGAGAGAGCATTTTTTGTTATCCCAAATATAAAATTAAAAGTATTTTTATAACTAGGAAAAAAGTTATGACCAGATTGCAAACTAAAATGCTATCTCTAAAATGCTATAAAAAAAATTAAGTCCAGAAAAGGCTTTGCCATTCTATCCTTTATCAATTCAAAGTTAAAATGAAAATCTGATTTCAACTGCTTATATTTAGCAAATGTTAAAGGGAACACATGCTTGTAAAAATAGAGAAAAAGAAACATATTTGTAAAATAAAAATCCTCCAGAAAATAATAAAGAGCATTTTCAGAAACACAATTCCCAGCTTCTGCTAACTCCTTTTGCATTTCCAGTTTCAGTTTATTATAAACTGTACAACTCCTAGTAATAAACCACATGAACGATATACGCCTACAAACACTCCCACATCCTCGCTCTGGTTGTTGGATGGTTTGGATTTAGGAATGTAGGCAGGGGCTTGATGTATTGTCCAGCTCTCTCCAGATGATTCCTAGTATCAAGAAAACAGAACTGCAGTGGCTGTGCAAGTATTCTGTACTTTTAACCCTTTTGATACCAATGTATTTCCCCAAGGAATTTTTGTTTGTTAAAGCATTCAATTTAGCAGTTCCATTTGGGCTAAACCATGTTATAGGATCCCTGGGAAGAGAAGCGCCCCCTGGGTTTTATTTTAATTTTTTTTTATCTGTTTTTTTTTTTTCCACACCATTCTACAAGTGACTATTCTAGGAGATTTTTCTAAAGGTTCGTTCACCTTGTTATTTTGTTAATGTCTGTTTACTGGGTAAGTGACAGGATTTCCCCTTGGGAGTCTGTCAATGTTAGCCAGGCAATAGCTTTGTGTGGGATTAATAAAATCTTTCTTAAGCAGTACTTATTATGTTTCTTGTTTAGTACTTGAGTGTGTATGATTCTTTATGTTTTTTGTCTATTGCCAATATTGTTCGGACACATTTCATATATACATGTTGAAGGGCAACATATACATAGTGTGCTGTAGAATTCAAAGACATCAGGATTCTTTACTGAATAATCACTTGATTTCCTGTGTGCAACCTCTGAAGCTTACTTCCACAAAAAGGAGAAAGGAACGCATTCATCCCAGGAACCATAGAGTGCTTAACTAAATCAGGGTCAGCAAATTCCTTGCATATAGTATATCCAAACAGAGGCTCCAGACACTTACTGTGTTCAAACATAAAGCGGTTTTATAGGACCGTCATGTATAGAACAACGTTTCAACCTTAACAAATGTCTTTGTCAAACTAACATCACCTAGGAAAATATACCTATATACAGTGCATAATAAAAGTGGTGTCAATAATCACTTACCCAATCATGGCTGAGATCAGGAGCAGGCAATCAAGCTTGGTACCACAAAAACGCACAAAGCAGCGCATCTACTAAAGGTGAAACGCAAGAGGTGCCAGTTTGATAGAACACCTGTTCCTTGCCCCAAACAAAGCTCACATACGCAAGGCTGTGCCACAAGGTGGATCAGCCTAAAACCAAACGCGCATGTTTGAAGTGATGCAACTACACGGCAACATCGCAAAGGGCACGAAATGACAAAAGGGATCATGCGCCACAATGAGAAACCATGAATCCCAAAAGGAATTGGTCACCATAGTAACCGCACTTCATTGCCTAAACTCCTCCCTGCCAATACGATGTGAAAATAAAGGGAGAGAACAATCACTACAGGAATTTGATTAGTACTAATAATACAGAATACCATAAATAAGTCTTAAACCACATGGCTACAAGTGATATGGATGAAATGCATAAAGAAAAGCACGGAATTAAAGTGTTGTAATTACAAACATGAGAATATCAGTTCAACATATAAGAGAGAGATGAATAGTATCTTTTCAGAGAGTAATATCACTTCACCTAAAAAATAAAATAAAAAAAGAAGAAACAAAGCTGAGATAAAACACATCGCAGCGTATCAATTATTAGAAAAGTTGTTGCATCTAATAAAATGCTAATAAGACATAAACAATAAAGTGCCACATGTAATAAAGTACACCATTCAAGGTTCCGATTATAGAACTCAAGCTAAAGAATATTCTAAAGAGAGCAGTAAAAGAAAGGACACAAACTGTACATAGCTATTCATAAAACAATAAAGTGCATATACGCAATATAATGATCTAAATCTCATAATAAATACATAAAAACATAATCTGAAAATTTTTAAATAATTGAACTGGCTCTGTAAGCAATGATCCAATAAAATTGCTATTATTTATTTATTGCATGCTCAAATCGTTAAGTTTTTGCAAAAAAATTAATTTCCTATACAAAAGCATTGGATTGGTGTCAATCATTGAAATTGATCATCTCAGCCATGGAGGCAAGACCAGCGTGGCATGGAGAAAAGTTGAGCAAATTCACCTTTTTAGGGCGACCAGAGCGGGGCCGGTCACCTAAACAGCCACACCAGCACTATAGTGTAAGACTGTAAGGAATGCATGGTTGTATTCCTGACAGTATAATGTTCCTTTAATTTTAATATTCACTTTGAAGTCACCTTGAATTCTAATGTAAAGTAATACTTTAAGACTATGTCCTCGTGTTGTGGTAGTTTTTCTTCTTTTAAATATAGCTTCCTCCTTTACTGTGATGGAGCTCCTGTACTCCGACCGAGTACCTCCGCCCAGTCCGCTTCCTAGCCGCTTCCAGGGACCCTGGAATGCTTCAGCCTCAGTCGCTGTAGCTTGACCACCCACCCAGGCTGCAGCTCTCCTTCCAGGCATGAATTGTCCCATCTGCCTCATACACTGCAACCCTGCTTCCAGGATCATCCCTTCTGATTATTCTGCTGCAGCTTTCCTTCCAGGCAGGTATAGTCCCCCGTGCTTCTGCCAGGCAGGTATCCACATCCACCTGCAGTAGTATATATAGCTCTTGTCTTTAAAAAAAAACACTTGCAGCTCTCAGACCTAGCTCTCATGCTTTATCCCAGGGATAGAGGAATCCTACAACCGGCAAACACGTCCAAAGACTCTGTCACTGATATCCCTACAAATCCACACTGGACACAAGTTCCAAAAGGAACTAACATCCAAAACTTTTACTTGGGACTAGCCCATATGATTATTACATAAACATTGCTGTGACAACCCAATAACAATACAAACAGTCAAATGATAGCAGACAACATACAGCAACTTATTATAACACAATTACATACTTATAAAGGGGTGGGGAAGATAATAATTAACAGAAAATATCTCTCCTGCCTGGAGAATTAGCAATATGCAAATGAACCAGCCTTGCTATTCAGGTAATGCATGTTGCTGTTGCTACTAACAGAGGGCACTATACAAGCTCCATAGCCAAATCCACCTAGTTGGTAGCAATCCTCAGCAGTACAGGAGAGCAGGAAATACATTTAACAGTATACACACACAATATAAACAATTACATTACACACACCCTGCACCTACAATGGACTGGGGATTCCAAATCAGCCCTGGAAAAAAAATCTATGCCAGCCCCATAAGTCATTGCGCCATATATTGTCGCATGTAATATGTAAGGCTATGTCTTGCCAACCTAGATGATTAATGACTTTTTAGAGAAAAGGCAGTGTTTACATTGCTTCCTAGTGACAGACACTCAGACGGTCACTAGAGGTGCTTCCTGTGTCAGTGCGGATTGGCTGAGATCATCAAGCTTGATAATCTCAGCCGTAGAGGCAGGACCAGTCGAGGGGAGACCAGCACGACGTGGGGGAAAAAAAAAGGTGAGTAAAAACACATATACACACACACACATACCATGACAGACAGACACACACACACACACATGACAAACACAGACAGACCGTGACACAGACAGATACACATTACATGACAGACACATACAATGACACAGACAGACGCACACACCATGACAGACAGAGACACACACACACTATGACACAGACAGACACACACAATGACACAGACACACATTGCATGACACAGACACACATACACACACCATGACAGACAGAGACACACACACACCATGACACAGACAGACACACACAATGACACAGACACACACCATGACACAGACAGACACACACCATGAGACAGACACACACAAATGACACACATACACTCACACTGACACACATAATTGCTACCTGTGTGCTGGCATGGGGAGCTTCTGATGGCGGCCGCATGGGGGAGCTCGATCTTCTGGCGGCCGCAGAGGGAGCTGGCGGTTCTATCTCTGCTCCCCCGCCCCAGCGCACTACTTAATGAGACCGGGGCCGGAATATGACATCAGACGCAGGTGAGCCAGCTGCCTGCCCGGCCTCAGGTGCTGACGGCCCACCGGGAAATTTCCCGGTATTCTGGTGGGCCAGTCCGGCCCTGTGTGGGAGAGAGAGGGGACCTGCAGTACCAGGAAAACGGATTGTTTTCCTGGCACTGAAGTTTCCCTTTAACCTTTCCTGGTAAGTTTTATCCTGCAACCCATGAATCAGTTTAGTAGCCCTTCTCTGAACTCTCTCTAAAGTATCAATATCTTTCTGGAGATACGGTCTTTAGTACTGCGTACAATGCTCCAAGTGAGGTCTCACCAGTGTTCTGTACAATGACATGAGCACTTCTCTCTCTCTACTGCTAATACCTCTCCCTATACAACCAAGCATTCTGCTAGCATTTCCTGCTGCTCTATTACATTGGCTGCCTACCTTTAAGTCATCAGAAATAATCACCCCTAAATCCCTTTCCTCAGATGTTGAGGTTAGGACTCTATCAAATATTCTGTACTCTGCCCTTGGGTTTTTACATCTGAGATGCATTATCTTGCACTTATCCACATTAAATGTCAATTGCCACAACTCTGACCATTTTTCTAATTTACCTTAATCATTTGCCATTTGCCTATCCCTCCTGGAACATCAATCATGTTGCAAATTTTAGTATCATCAGCAA